AATCAACAACCTTCTAACTATGGTCCAATGAAGAGTGGAAATTTTGGTGGTAGCAGGAACATGGGGAGACCATATGGTGGAGGAAATTATGGTCCAGGAGGCAGTGGAGGAAGTGGGGGTTATGGAGGGAGAAGCAGATACTGAGCTTCTTCCTATTTGCCATGGGCTTCACTGTATAAATAGGAGAGGATGAGAGCCCAGAGGTAACAGAACAGCTTCAGGTTATCGAAATAACAATGTTAAGGAAAATCTTATCTCAGTCATGCATAAATATGCAGTGACAAGGCAGAAGACACCAGAGCAGGTGCAGAGAGCCATTTTGTGAATGGATTGGATTATTTAATAACATTACCTTACTGTGGAGGAAGGATTGTAAAAAAAAAAAATGCCTTTGAGACAGTTTCTTAGCTTTTTAATTGTTGTTTCTTTCTAGTGGTCTTTGTAAGAGTGTAGAAGCATTCCTTCTTTGATAATGTTAAATTTGTAAGTTTCAGGTGACATGTGAAACCTTTTTTAAGATTTTTCTCAAAGTTTTGAAAAGCTATTAGCCAGGATCATGGTGTAATAAGACATAATGATTTTCCTTTAAAAAAATTTGAGTGCGTGTGTAAAGAAGCTGTTGTACATTTATGATTTAATAAAATAATTCTAAAGGAAAAAAGAAAAGAAAAGATACTCAAATCACTAACTATTAGAGAAATGCAAATCAAAACTACAGTGAGGTATCACCTCACACCCGTCAGAATGGCCATCATTAAAAAGTCTACAAATAATAAATGTTGGAGAAGCTGTGGAGAGAAGGGAACCCTCCTACACTGGTGGTGGGAATGTAAATTGATACAGTCACTATGGAGAACAGCACAGCAGTTCCTTAAAAAACTAAAAATAGAGCCACTATATGATACAGCAATCCCACCCGGGTATATATCCAGAGAAAAGCATAGCTCAAAAGGATACATGCACCTCAGTGTTCTTTGCAGCACTGTTTACAACAGCCAAGAAATGGAGGCAACCTAAATATCCATCAAAAGATGAATGGATAAAGAAGATGTGGTATATATATATGATTGAATATTACTCAGCCATTAAAAAGAATGAAATAATGCCATTTGCAGCAATATGGATGGACTTGGGGATTATACTAAGTGAAGTAAGTCAGAGAGAGATAAATATCATCATTTATACATGGAATCTTAAAAAAATGATACAAATGAACTTATTTGCAAAATAGAAACAGACTTAGAGAATGAACTTATGGTTACAGTGAGGAAGTTTGTGTGGTGGGGGGTAAACTGGCAGTTTAGGATTGACATATATACACTGCTATACTTCAAATGCCTTTCCATGAAAAAAAGAGCAGCAAATACTCTTTCACATAATGCAATTATTATTGAGAATACTTGAGAATCATACAGATGAAGAACCGTGGCTTGTTGTTTTATGTCCATATTATCCAAATGAAGAAAATACTGCCTAGTGACTAATGCTTTGGCAATCACTAGCTTTTATAACTCAAACACAGAATAATGCCACAGAGGAAAATTATGTAGATTTCATTTACTATATGGACAATCTAAGCTACAACTAGTTTGTTTTAACAGTAAAACAAAAGAGATCATTTTACAAAAGTTAGCCCATAAATAATACCCTCAGAAATTTACCACAATCTATCTACTCAATCTTAAAATTTCTATACTAATTACATCTAAAATGCATAGATGCCCCTCTGGGGCTGCAAAAAAAATAATAAAATAAAATAAAACACATAGAGACCCTGAAATGGAGATAATTATGGACCTGAGGAAAAGTATGGGAAGAAAACTCTAAGTCAGTTATAATTCTCCATGCTTTTATCACTCTAGAGATCCTGATCAAAGGCCAAGGTTGATTTTTGTTATAAGTAATTGAAAGTCATTAAGTTTATTATAGGCTCTGTGCTTACTATTCCTCTTCCATTAAATGCAAATTTATAGGACATTACAATTTCAAGGAAAAAAAAAACATGGCATGGCATATACTATTGTGTTACAGTAAGTCAAAACATGCATGAGCAGTTCTGAGCAGGCAGAAATCACTTCCTATAGACAAACAACTTGGGAGTTGAATTCTTGCTAAATGGTTTTTACTTAAAAAATTTTAAAAACAGTATTAAGACCTGAATTTCATCCTTTTCCTATACGAGACCAATTCCAAATGTGCATCTTCTCTATATCTCTGGCCTTAAGTAAATTTAGCACACTTATTGACATTCACTTTTAGACATACTACCCCTCCTCTATACTAGATCTTCATTTTTCTATCCCACTGATTGTATATGCCCAAGCAATTCCACTTACAGACTTACTCCCTTCTGTTCACATTTATATCTGCATGCCTCCTTAGATGTCATGCATCACTTGGAGGATGTATTTCTTTAAACATATATCATTTGGATTCAAACAGCTTGTATTGGATTCAAGCTCTGTGGCTTACTAGTTGTATGATCTTGAGAAAGTTGTTTAACCTCTCTGAACCTATATTTCCTTATCCTAAAAATACAGATAATCGTAGGATGTAATTTATAAGACTAGAAATTGCCAAGAAAAAATGATATAGTATCTGACACACTTAAGTGTTCCTACTTACTATCACTATTATGGCTATTATCAAGAAACTTTATATCATTTTATAATGGTATAAAAACCAACATACTCACTTTCATTTCTAAACTTTTGAGAAGCAAGCGCTACACCTCTGTATTTGGGGCAGAGTTGAATACAAGTTTGAAACCTTTTTTTAATTGGACTGTGAAGGATAGGTACTCTTGAGTTAAGGTCACACTAAGTTGTAATTATCATAGATCCTCCCTTACATGATAAAACATCTAGTGTTGGTAATTTTATTAAAATCACCAACAGGAGTAAGAGAACAAAGATTTCACAATCCAAAACCAAAAGCTTTCCTTTAAATGTTCTTCAGAGAACTATAGTCGCTTATAGAAGCATCTCACTTTGTGCAATTGCTGGGCTCCTGTTAGGATGTTTGCCTCAAAATTTCTAAATCATATGTTAAAATACAACATGAAAGCATTCTTAAAGGAAAGACCTTAGTATTGCAAACTGAAGAGTCCCCATTTATGTTATAAAATAACTCTTCTGAAGCTTACTAATTTTACACTGTTTTAATATTAGGTAAAAGTACTATAAGATTATAATAAAACAAAAATTTATTTTGGCAATATGCAGTAGACTTTTGATAACAGGTTTACAAGAACTATAATTACTGCAACAACATACAAATCTATAATTATCCATAAGAAAAGTAATTGAAACAAAACACAAAAAGCATAAATACTTCTTATTTGCATAGTCTTCAACAATGGAATCTGGAAAAGGACATAGTAGGAGACAGTAGTCATTTTTAAGGCCATAAGAAACTTAAGTCTTAACAAAGAAAGAGGTGCAGTTGTTTCTACTTGAACAGAAATTCTTAAAGAAGTTTCTTATTGAATCTGCCTTTTAGGAAGGGATAGAAGAGCAAGAAAGCAAAGAATAAATGAGCAGTATTGAAACTGCATGTTATCCAGTGAAATCATCAAAACTAACTTCCTGATCTGTTCAACCTAATTTGGGATTTAACTAAAGGTATTAAGCTGATCTTCTAAATTTTACAATTATTGTATTGGACTTGAGACTCTGGGCAGCTCAAACATTATTTCAAATATCACAATTAATATATATGGAAAATAATAAGGCAAGAAGCTCATAAAATGAAGTTCAAAGACAATATAAGAAGTTTGCTTTTTGTTTTCAACCTAAACTTAGTCCAAAATGTAAGCTTAGGTATTCTATTTCAAAACTGTCTAAATACACCCACATATAGTTGCCAGACAAGTTGAAGGTTCAAAGTTCTTGTGATTTCGCACAACTTTCAGTTCTATTCCAAATCCTCTTGGGGGGTAAACAAAACAAAAATACATAACAACAAAAAACATGGACTTTTTTTTTGTTGCTGCTACTCTAAAGCTCAGAAGAGAGAGGGGGTTTGTATATTCTACATCCCGAACCCATATCCTGAGCTCAAAAAGCAAAAAAAAAAAAAAAAAATCTGCTTTTTGCGAATTGTGAAAGAGACACTTTTATTTACCATACATATACACTCAGCTTTCCCCTGGTTTAGCCTATTGCTCCTCACAGCTGTTGAAAATTGTAATTCTAAATTAAGAGCACATGAATGAGAGGGGGATGTCCTATCAATTGAAGAAGCGGTCACTGGGGTCTGCAACAACAAAAGAAGCCACTTGTTAGTTCGCTTTCCAGTTCTCAATATATTTGAAGCATTTAGAAACTATTCGAAGTAATATCTTTTGAAAGAAAAGAAAAAGTCAAAATAAGGGAACATATGGAAGGAAAAAACACATCCCTTGTCACATTGTTTAAAAAAAAAAATTATCATTGTTCCTGATGTCTCCCATCCTGCCTAGTTCTAACAGAGTCTTTAGGCCGAAGTTAAATAATTCTCTCTTACACATTGGCAAAATATAACTCTTTGATTATAGGGGTCTCCGTGAAATATAATCACAGTGCCTTAGTAGGCCTCCACTTCATCATCATCAGTAAGACCATGTTTTACATCCCTTACAGATGTGCACCCTTGTCCCTTGCCTCCATACTAAGAACACTATGTGAAACGTCCCATTCTTACAAGTGTGTGACTTGATTTCTTCACCTAACCCTAAAAACCCTATACCACCATCTCGCATTTACCAAAACTCCGAAGCTTTCTTTTTCCTTCAAAGAAATGTGGCCCTAAAGTCGTAAGGCAAATAAAGTTAAACTCCATGGAAAAATGAAACCGATGCAACAAAGAGAAGAAAAAGGAAGACAGGGGGTTGGGTGGGAAGTGCCTGTGTCTACCGAAGGAGAAGCTGCCAGACTAACTTCTGCAATTCAAGGGTTCTGGGGCAGCAGGAGACTGATGTGTAGAAAAAATAACAAAGGTGGGCTTCCCACCTTCCTTACCGCCATGGAGCCAGAGGAAGATGCAATATACACACGGATCACCATCTTGGGAACAGCTTCTGTAGTTTGAATCCTGCAAACGGCTGGAGAGCAGCTGCAGCCAAGGCTGGAATCAAGCTAAGGGCAGTACAGAGGTTGGAAAAAAAGGGTGGGGGAAGGTGGAAGGGGAACTTGCCAGAGCCCCGCCCTTGGCTGCTTTCACTATGCTTCGACCGCTGCAATCCCAGCCCCAAAGCCCAGAAGGCACAGGCTCGTTTGCATCATTTCTTTTTTTTTTTTAATTGGGAATCTCGAATAGCACCGCGAGATCTGTTGAAACATTTATTTTTGACTGTTCACTCCCGGAAAATAAAGAAAAAAGAAAGAAAAAGAAAGGAGCATTGAGTTACATTTGATTGCAATGAAGGACTTTTCCTCACGGAGACTCAAAGTTCTGTGCCTTCCTGCTCAGCAATGTATACAAATAAGATGCTTTCTTTGAAAGAGGAAGTTCTCCTTTGGAAGAGGAAGTTCTACGTTGAAACCAGACATTAGTAAGAAAGCCCAAGTTCTCAAAGCCTTGTGCATTTTAAGATTGCTATTTTGTAGTGATTGTTTTTGTGTTAGCTGGCGGCAGGAATTGGATACTGAAGAACTGAGTGCTGCGGCTTAGGAAAAGTATCAGGTTTCCACAAGTCCGGAAACAGCAGGATTGGTTTTCTTCTTGAGTTTTGTTTTTTGTTAAATTAGGGAATCCTGCTTCCGTGAGAATTCTCAAGAAGCCTGATTGACTGGCAAACTCAAGAATGCAGGAAGAAATTGCAAATAAAAAATTGAAAATACACTGTAAGAAAGTGGATGATTTTTGTCTTGTTTGCTTTGTGACTGGTTATGGAAAGGGAACTTGGATCATATGTTGCAGGAGATGTGGAAATGGGGAACAGAGAGAGCAAACGGTTATTTGTAGCTCTAGGGAAATGAGCAAATAATTGATAATGCCCAGAGTGGTTTCCATTGACTATCAAAACATACATAAATTGGGTTTCTAAGGAGCTCCCACCATAATAATTATACTTCCCAGATTATGTCAAATGAACAGAAATAAGGAACTTGCAACATGAATGTGAGTGGAGAGAGTCAGTCACCTGTCCTACTTCTTTACTTTTACTTTGTCCTCCCTTTCCATTCTAATGCTTTATCATATTTGCATAGGTACAATAATTGTAATAGCTTCCTAATAGATTCTCCCTTCTCCAATCTATGTGATCAGTACAACAAACTTGAGAGGTAGATATAATTATGTCAGTTTTTTCAGATGAAGACTCAAGGAAATGCATGAAAATGAGTAATTTTCCTAAAGTCATTTACCTAATAAATTCCAGAGTTAAGATCAGACTTCGAGTTCAACCAGCTCCAAAGGTTACCTTCTTAAATATCATTTTTAATACATTGTGTGGAACAGGGAAAGTACTCAATAACTGTTACCTATTTTTCTTCCAAAAACATAATTTTCATGTGTCACTAAGAACAGTGTAGCCTGAAATACTTAAGACAGGTTTCCATTGACTATCAAAACAAACATAAAGTGTGTTTGTTTCTAAGGAGCTCGCACCATAATCTGGCCCTAAACAATCCATACAGTCTCACTCATTGCTCCCCAAACCAACTTCCTTGAATAACCATTGTTTACTACAATAACCATACTTATTCCTATTTCCATGCCTTTTCTCTTCTTGTCCCTTTCTTCACCTTTCCCCCACATAGTCTGTCTTTTCTGAGCTCTCCATCTGTCCCACTCTGATATTTAATAAATATAAATAAAAACCTTTATACACATGATCAGGCTGAAGTAAGTAAGGGTAAACTAGTCACCCTCATCATGGTCAACATCAGGGTGACTGTGACTGTGCTTCCCACCCACAGGACAGGAAAATGTTCCTTCAGGTTTTGATTTGGCATGATGGACATAATTTGCAATATAATAACATAATTAACCCCTCAACTCTTAGTGGTCAACATATATTCTACTTGAATCTATAATCTATTTTGAATTGATGAAAAAAGTAGAAAGAAAGAAAAACTCTTCTATTGATTCTACATACCCATATGAAAAACTTAATAACTCCAGAGAACTGAGTGATAGGCAGTACTAGCAAAGACCAGTTAGTCTTATCAGGAACTTTCAGAAATGGGAAGACAATTGCCAGTATTTAATTTCTTTTAAATACAGATGTATTCAGTTCAGTTCAGTTCAGTCGCTCAGTCGTGTCCGACTCTTTGCGACCCCATGAATCACAGCATGCCAGGCCTCCCTGTCCATCACCAACACTCAGAGTTTACTAAAACTCATACCCATCGAGTCGGTGATGCCATCCAGCCATCTCATGCATCCTCTGCCATCCCTTTCTCCTCCTACCCCAATCCCGCCCAGTATCAGGGTCTTTTCCAATGAGTCAACTCTTCGCCTGATGTGGCCAAAGTATTGGAGTTTCAGCTTCAGCATCAGTCCTTCCAAAGAACACCCAGGACTGATCTCCTTTAGGATGGACTGGTTGGATCTCCTTTTGGTCCAAGGGACTCTCAAGAGTCTTCTCCAACACCACAGTTCAAAAGCATCAATTCTTCAGCGCTCAGCTTTCTTTATGGTCCAAATCTCACATCCATACATGACTACTGGAAAAACCATAGCCTTGACCAGATGGACCTTTGTTGGCAAAGTAATGTCTCTGCTTTTTAATATGCTATCTAGGTTGGTCATAACTTTCCTTCCAAGGAGTAAATGTCTTTTAATTTCATGGCTGCAGTCACCATCTGCCATGATTTTGGAGCCCCCAAAAAATAAACTCTAACACTGTTTCCACTGTCTCCCCATCTATTTCCCATGAGGTGATGGGACCAGATGCCATGATCTTAGTTTTCTGAATGCTAAGCTTTATGCCAAATTTTTCATTCTCCTGTTTCACTTTCATCAAGAGGCTTTTTAGTGCCTCTTCACTTTCTGCCATAAGGGTGGTGTCATCTGCATATCTGAGGTTATTGAGATTTCTCCTGGCAATCTTGATTCCAGCTTGTGCTTCTTCCAGCCCAGCATTTCTCATGATGTACTCTGCATACAAGTTAAATAAGCAGCATGACAATACACAGCCTTGACATACTCCTTTTCCTATTTGGAACCAGTCTGTTGTTCCATGTCCAGTTCTAACTGTTGCTTCCTGATCTGCATAGAGGTTTCTCAAGAGGCAGGTCAGGTGGTCTGGTATTCCCATCTCTTTCAGAGTTTTCCACAGTTTATTGTGATCCACAGAGGCAAAGGCTTTGGTGTAGTCAATAAAGCAAAAATAGATGTTTTTCTGGAACTCTCTTGCTTTTTTGATGATCCATAGGATGCTGGCAATTTGATCTCTGGTTCCTCTGCCTTTTCTAAAACCTGCTTGAACATCTAGAAATTCACGGTTCATGTATTGCGGAAGTCAGACTTGGAGAATTTTGAGCATTACTTTACTACCATGTGAGATGAGTGCAATTGTGTGATAGTTTGAGCATTCTTTGGGATTGCCTTTCTTAGGGATTGGAATGAAAACTGACCTTTTCCAGCCCTGTGGCCACTGCTGTGTTTTCCAAATTTGCTGACATATTGAGTGCAGCACTTTAACAGCATCATCTTTAAGGATTTGAAATAGCTCAACTGAAATTCCATCACATCCACTAGCTTTGTCCATAGTGATGCTTTCTAAGGCCCACTTGACTTCACATTCCAGTATGTCTGGCTCTAGGTGAGTGATCACACCATCGTGATTATCTGGGTCATGAAGATCTTTTTTGTGCAGTTCCTCTGTGTATTCTTGCCACCTCTTCTTAATATCTTCTGCTTCTGTTAGGCCCATACCCTTTCTGTCCTTTATCAAACCCATCTTTGCCTGAAATATTCCCTTGGTATCTCTAATTTTCTTGAAGAGATCTCTAGTCTTTCTCATTCTGTTGTTTTCCTCTATTTCTTTGCATTGATCGCTGAGGAAGGCTTTCTTTCTTTCTTTCTTTCTTTTTTTTTTTGAGGAAGGCTTTCTTATCTCTCCTGGCTATTCATTGGAACTCTGCATTCAAATGGGAATTGATGTATTAACCTAAGTGAAAACGTTCCCAATGAATTGGTATATAAACAAAATCTATAGGTCCTTATTAAGAAATTAATAATGTTAAGAATGTTCAAACTGCCAGGCAATTGCACTCATCTAACATGCTAGTAAAGTAATGCTCAAAATCCTCCAAGTCAGGCTTAAGCAATACATGAACCATGAACTTCCAGATGTTCAAGCTGGTTTCAGAAAAGGCAGAGGAACCAGAGATCAAATTGCCAGCATCCTATGGATCATCGAAAAAGCAAGAGAGTTCCAGAAAAACATCTATTTCTGCTTTATTGACTATGCCAAAGCATTTGACTGTGTGGATCACAATAAACTGTGGAAAATTCTTCAAGAGCTCAGAATACCAGACCACCTGACCTGCCTCTTGAGAAACCTATATGCAGGTCAGGAAGCAAAAGTTAGACCTGGATATGGAAGAACAGACCAGTTCCAAATAGGAAAAGGAGTATGTCAAGGCTGTATATTGTCACCCTGCTTATTTAACTTGTATGCAGAGTACATCATGAGAAATGCTGGGCTCGAGGAAGCACAAGCTGGAATCAAGATTGCTGGGAGAAATATCAATAACCTCAGACATGCAGATGACACCACCCTTATAGCAGAAAGTGAAGAAGAACTAAACAGCCTCTTGATGAAAGTGAAGGAGGAGAGTGAAAAAGTTGGCTTAAAGTTCAACATTCAGAAAACTAATATCATGGCATCTGGTCCCATCACCTCATGGGAAATAGATGGGGAGACAGTGGAAACAGTGTTAGAGTTTATTTTTTGGGGGCTCCAAAATCATGGCAGATGGTGACTGCAGCCATGAAATTAAAAGACATTTACTCCTTGGAAGGAAAGTTATGACCAACCTAGAGAGCATATTAAAAAGCAGAGTCATTATTTGTCAACAAAGGTCCATCTGGTCAAGGCTATGGTTTTTCC